ATTTGCAGTCTTCAGTCACAAGCTCATTTTTGTTTATTTTGCATCATATTAGCCATCATAGCAAAGAGTTTTAAAGTTCGCCTTCCTGCTCAGCCCAGACCAAAGCACTTCTACTAGAAAACGAATTTGTGTAATTCAGCTGCTACACAGAATCACAGAATCACAGAATGGTAGGGGTTGGAAGGGACCTCTGTGGGTCATCTAGTCCAACCCGCCTGCCAAAGCAGGGTCACCTACAGCAGGCTGCACAGGACCTTGTGCAGGCGGGTCTTGAATATCTCCAGAGAAGGAGACTCCACAACCTCCCTGGGCAGCCTGTTCCAGTGCTCCGTCACCCTCAGAGGGAAGAAGTTCTTCCTCATGTTCAGACAGAACTTCCTGTGCTTCAGTTTGTGCTCACTGCCCCTTGTCCTGTCACTGGGCACCACTGAAAAGAGTCTGGTCCCATCCTCCTGACACCCACCCTTCAGATATTTATAAGCATATATTAGGTCTCCTCGCAGCCTTCTCTTCTTCAGGCTGAACAAGCCCAGCTCCCTCAGCCTCTCCTCGTAGGAGAGATGCTCCAGTCCCCTCACCATCCTCGTAGCCCTCCGCTGGACTCTCTCCAGTAGCTCCTCATCTTTCTTGAACTGGGGAGCCCAGAACTGGACACAGGACTCCAGATGAGGCCTCACCAGGGCAGTGTAGAGGGGAAGGAGAACCTCCCTCGACCTACTGGCCACACTCCTCCTAATGCATCCCAGGATCCCATTGGCCTTCTTGGCAGTCAGGGCACACTGCTGGCTCACGGTCAACTTGTCGTCCACTAGGACATCCAGGTCCCTCTCCACAGAGCTGCTCTCCAGCAGGTCCGCCCCAAGCCTGTACTGATGCATGGGGTTGTTCCTCCTCAGGTGCAGGACCCTGCATTTGCCTTTGTTGAACCTCATCAGGTTCCTCTCTGCCCAATTTTCCAGCCTATCCAGGTCACGCTGAATGGCAGCACAGCCTTCTGGTGCATCAACCACTCCTCCCAGTTTGGTGTCATCAGCAAACTTGCTGAGGGTACATTCTAACTCTTCATCCAGGTCGTTGATGAAGAAGTTAAACAAGGCTGGGCTCAGTACTGACCCCTGGGGGACACCACATACCTAGTAGCTACTATGCAGTATATCCACATTTTTGAGAAGCCATAAACATATACTTCTAGTAAGCCTGTCTAATTTTCACAGAAGTGGCAAGCAACACTTCCTTCACACAAAGGTCAACCCCAGACACGTTTAGTCCCTTCTTTAGTCCCTTCTAAGGATAAGGCTGCCAGCAACATGAGCACAGCAAGGTATTCTTCCACTGCCTCATGGTGGCCTATTAAGTTCTCCCCGTAAAAGCTTTAGGTATACACCTGGGCCCTGAAAAACAGGATATTATAACAGCATGACAAGCAACATACCCTACTTCTGAGGCGCACAGGCTCATCTCTAATCATTTCTAAATAACATCTCTGCCATAGAAACTAACCATACTTCACGCAGCAACAATCAGAATATAACTAAGCTACTAATTCTGTAGCTTCAAATCCCTCATTAAAATTAAATTATAGCAAAGGTGGATTGGCTTGTTTGTTTTTATCATTATACCTTATATATTTGCTATTGATTTTGTAAACACAGTGCCCAGAAGAGACTAAATACATATTATGAAGGAAAACACATGCTTTCATCTGTGTCTGTTTACAAAAATGACAGCTACCCACATCCACATTTTCAGACCAACCTCTTCTTACTGCAGAGTAATATTTAATATGCAAATAGATAGCTTTTGAGGTCTGAACAACAAAAATAGTTCCAATCCTCAACTCATACGGCTTCTGCTTGGCAAAAGGGAAAGGCTAAATGATGCCTGAAGATCAGATTATCCAAATATCCAAAGAACAAAGATGAAAGATAAAGCAAAAACTAGAGTGCCCTTACTGGGAGGGGGAGACACCACTGCATCAGGGAACAAAGATATACATATTTACTGTAATACGACAACAATCTAGGTTCCAGACTGATTTACAGAAGAGGAAAATAAGGAAAGTCACCCTAAAAAACGACCCTACTTCTCCAAGACACAATGTATACTTGATATACCGTATCAAATAAAACATCACATGCAGAAGGAAACGAAATTTACCAAGACAACGAGCTTCCATACCACATACGGTTCATCGACTGAAGATTAGTATTTTGCAAAGCACAGGTCATTATTTAACTGTAGAACATGTAAGATTAAAAATGCCAAACAAAACATCTGCAGCCACAAAAAGTTAGGAAACTGCAGCTTTTTTCACCACTTGGTGGTTTTAACAACAATAGTGTTTTGTTATTATACAACATACAAAGCAAATTAAACTTGTAAGTGAACATGCTGTAACATGCCACGAGAACCTCTGAACGTCAAATAACCGGTCAGTGCTTGAAACTGCATCGCTTCACTTAGTCATTACAAGATCAGAGAGATCCTGAGATCTTCTGGATTACCATGTTTCAGTTCATGAAAAGTAAAAGAAAAAAAAATATCCTATTTCTAGCAAACTTCAAGTCACAGGAAAAAGCCAGGATTTGCAAAGCCAGTCCACAACATTAAATATTTCTAGAAGATCCACATCAAAACACTTCCAGAGCAGGAGAAGCCAAGCAGCTAACAGAAAAAAAACCTGATACATTGGCTGAACACACTCTTTTAGATACTCCCTCTTAGGATTCCCTCAAGATTTTACAGGTATGAAGAAACATAGTATCTCCAGTCACAGCCACTAAAAAAAAAAAAAGCACAAACAAAAAACCCACACCAACAACAGGTTTTTTGCACTGCTCACATACAGAACTGAAATTGAGCCTTCTGCTCACATCTCAAAGTTTCTTCAAATTCAACTTCAAAGTTCTGTCAATGTGAGTAAAAATCCACACATGTATTTTGACAAAACATGGCCTGAAATATGATGGTGGTGAAAAACTAAGTAAACTAAGAAAAAAATACGGCAAATATTGGTAAGGTTTTACCTTGCAGGTAATTCTGTAGTCTGTAATTCAAGATCTTTTTTTTCTGCTCTCCTGGTTTTGGTTAGAACAGAACTGAATCTCTTCTAGTGAATCTTCCTCACATCTAAGTTCTTGTAAATAACTGCATTTTTCTGAAGCTGGCTGCGTATTTCACAGACACTGTCCACTCCAAAGCTAATGTTTAGATTTACACTGAGCTAACACTAGGAAAGGAATGCAGAAAAAGGCCCCTGTTTATAATTATTACCATAGCAGCCAAGGTCACCGACAGACCTCTTAGGTCCCACAAGTGAGGAGTTGTAAAGGGTCGCACTTGCAGGCAGGGCCGGACAGGACAGGTGACCCAACATTGACCAACACGGTATTCCATGCCATGCATGTCATACTCAGTTTAAAGCTTGGGGAGCACAAGGGTCTCACTCTCTTCGTCCATCCGGCCTGTGATCCTGATCCAGATTGCGATCTGTGCATCCCTGAGTCCGGTTCCTGTCTGCTGCCGAGGCCAGTCCGGGACTTCCTGGTGCTGCCTGGCAGCTGCTGGCGGGATGCCAGCGCCCCGCATGGAACTCCGGGAAACTCAGTACCAGTTTTGTGTATTTTGCATTATTTCTCTTATTATTAATATTAGTAGTAGTGTTATTAGTAAAACTTTTTATATTCAATTTGAAAGTCTCCCTTTCCCTCCATTTCCCTTCCTCTGGTGGGAGGGTGGGGGTTAACAGAGAGCCTCTGCCACTCAGTTTATCGCTGCCCTGCTTTAAACCGTGACATCTACCAATGTGTTACTAAGAAAAGAAGGTCTGCCAAAACCCCGTACTTTCATTGTTTTAGTCATAAATTTAGATTTAGAGGTACAACCACATCGCAAAGCACTCTCTTCTGCATTACCACATGAAGATGGAACTATTCACGTACACCATTAACCAGACACTTTTTAGAAGATTATCCAAGAACAACGGAGATCAACATTCATCCAAAGTGGATGTGAGCTTAAAAACCAAATCAAATATTAAGGAGACTAAGGGTCTGAAGATTGACGTTTGTTATTCAGTTTCCTGCCCCTATAAATATAGCTCCTTCGTGTAATACACATTTGATCAATACATTGTTTGATTTCAATTTTTCTGTAATCATTTTGAATAATGCAAAACTAAGTCTACCCACACCTGCAGAAAAGTCTATTTGTGTGCAGGTGAGCAGTTTTGCATGTATTCTTAAAGGGTTAAAAAAGCGCCAAACCAAATTTGCGTTATTGTGCCACTGTGTTATCACTCTGTGCTGAATTTAAATGACAAATTTCCCACAGATGACTATTAATCTAGCAGTAATAAAAATGTAAAGTAATAATCATTACAAATTCAAATTTTTTTTAAAAAAATACGTGAAGTTAAATTGTTAAAAGAATACACCAACAATGGACACTGGCAGTCAGTTATTTTCTTTATACCCTCACAGGAAGATTTCCAAATGAACGACAAGGTATTTTGCCATCACAGGGGGCCTGACTACCAGTACCAGTAAAACATGTCAAAAAGAGATGTCATTTCTTTGATGAGGAGAAAAAGATGTAACAGGTTGAAACATAAAAAATTATACGTACTCGTTTATCAGCACACTTGCTAAAATGTCTATCCCTGTTTTTCTTTTCCACCTAGTCATGAAGGCTGCAGAAAAAAATCTCTAATGGAAAACTAACGCAAAGGAAGCTGCATAGAAACGGCGTTTCCAATGGGTATGTTTCAGTGTGTATCCCAAAACTGATGATGAACAGGAATAGGAAGGTGCATGTACAAATGCACCTGCAGACATTTCCTCATTGGACCCTAGTACCTCTAGTTTATCATCTGTGTTATTCATTATTCAGTGCTTCAGGAACAAGATTTCCTTCACACTTTTCAGCAAAAATGAAATTTCTCAGAAAGCACTACTATTAAGCAGATGTGCCACATAATTAGCAACGACAAATCCACTTACTTTTTTCTCCTTCTCATGATGTTTATCCTGAGAGTGAGAGGAAGAATCACTTAAACTTTGATCATATGACCTATTAGGCCCCCGTTTGCTCTTTTTCTAAAAAGAGAAAATATATTTATGGATAGAGAAAAGGAACCATTTGAATAAATAAAAATTATAAAGCATTTCAACTGATAAAATGCCTTACTGCTTGAAGAAAGAAAAAAAAATTCAGTTACTGAAAAAATTACAAAGCACTAACACTAATAAAATTAACAAGACTATCCAATGTATACCAGGAAAAAAGCCTATCCTTATATCAACTTCTACACCTCCCATGAATTTGCAAGATATGCTTTCTACACAGAAATGCGATATGCCACTTTTTAAAGGTTCAAAGATGCCAGACACATTTTCAAGTTTTCAAAACATAAAACAGAAGAGATGCTCTTCAAATCAGCACCACATGAAGCCACAATGCTAGCACCGCCACATGCTTGAGATGCATTGTGAGGTGGCTGCTTTATGGCTTCATGATTTACTAGGCAAGTGACCTGTCTGCAATATTTTCATTAAAATGGTTTAAAAAAATAATAGCGAATGCTATGGTCATGTATGCATTTACAAGCAGCAGACATAATTGCCTGTATTTCTGTAGTGTTTGAGAGCCTGGTCTGGGAATGCAAATACTTCATGGCAGGCCAGTGTTCAAAATGTTTGTTATTTTATCATAACTGAGGTAGCATTATAGAGACACTTCAGGTCAGCGCTTTTCAACCAAAATTTTCAGTGGGTGACATATACTAGATATATGTCACCCACCATGTTCCATAGTAAATACTAAACACCTGTAATTACCAGGCATCCATGGTCAAAATAATCCTAAAGAAACACTAAAACACTTCAACGATCTTGTCAGTCTTTACTGTTCTTACCACTACAGTTTTGTAATGGAAAGCTAACTAATTACATGTCAACTACAGAGTTATGTCTTTATCATTAAACTGGCTTTTTAAACAAATATACATATTTTCAATCATAGCAGCACTGGAACATTCAAATCAAATGCATGATAGCGTAAGAGGCTGCCTACACTGCTAAGTGATAGATCATTTTTATTCTTCTTGTATACTTAGCTCAAGATAATAATAAAAATCTTAGCTTAGTAAGGGCCTAGAAAGCCCTGACTTATCTTCATCATGAAGCAAACTCCTTAATACTCACAAGAACACAGAGCTAATCTCACCAAGCTTATCTTCTAGAAAGCTAAAACAGTTTACTGGCCGTGTTTTTACCTCATTGCAACCTATTCAAAAGTCACCAAAGTATTCACCTTTTTTAGCAATGAAAACAAGTAATCGGTAAGTTTAACTACACTTACAGCAGTATCTGAACTTCAGTTTATATATTCTGATTTTCGGGATTCAGTATTCATAAGTAACGGGTTTTTTTAAAGATCAGCTTCAAGTCCACACACTCACACACGTACACAGAAACAGGTATCGGGAACTGTCAAACTGACACAAAGTGACAGGGAAGACTCCAGAGGCCTGATACAAAACCTGCTGAGATAACTGAGAAATTTTGAGGTGTTTCTGGTTTGTTTTTTAAAAATCAAACTTGAAGTCACTTCCTTGAGGTTGTGTTTCAGAGAACTTATAGGTAGGGAATATCACTACTGGCTACACAGTGAGAGACAGAACAAAAGCAGAAACCTTTTAAAGAACAGAAAAAAAAAAAAGAGTAACAGAAGCAGAGAGAAGTGGAGGAGCTTCCTCTTTCTCTTATATACAGGATAGCAAGTAATATTTTCTATATTACTCTAAAATGGACTAAATGCCTAGAAGCCAATTAATCAAATAGTAAAAGAAAACATTACAGGAACTTAATGAAAAAAATCCACTACATGTGCATGCTATTTCTGGCAGAGGGGAAAAACCTATGGACCTAGAAAGTAGCCACTTAGAAAAACATTTTCAGTTAGTACTTCTGTAACTGTGATTAAAATATTGTTTTGATGAAACACAATCTACTTCCTGAGCAACACAAAAATATTACTCCTAGTGTTAATAGCAATTCAGAGTGAAAAAATAAGTCAGTGACATTTATTTACAGAATTTAACAAATACATACCAGTTTACTAAAATGGTATTTACAGTAGCCACAGTACTGGACGTTATCTGCACCATTGCCTTCTTCTTCACAAAGAAGTCCTGCAAACTGTGCACTAAAAATAAACCAAACAACATTCAAGAAGAGAATTTTACATCAACTTGTACCACAAATCACAGCTGATAATGTATGAATACTTGTATCTGCATTTAACAGAAGAGAGTTCCACACAAGTGACGAGCACATAATGGATCTTTGTAGCCCAGTGCAAAACATGTATGGTTTATACTTTGGCCTGCTGCCTTTTTCATAGTCTTTAAGCCACTCACACAAGCTCATAGCTTGAAAATCTACATTTATTATGCAGCTACTCCCACAAATAAACCAAACAACTTACAATGATTCTTAGCTCAAATTCAAGCCAAAATTTATTTCTGGAAAGAACAGCTTTTAACAAAACCATACTGTAGATCCAAAGAAGAAATTTTTCTCAAGTTGCATACATCCTTCTCTGCTTTGCCAGAATTACTTTTTTTTTTTAATAGAACTGCAATGACATAATAAATAAAACATTACTTACTGGTTTAAAAGACTGTGGCAGGTTAATTTCTTTTAAAAAGAACAAGACTTAGAAGTTTCCTTGTCTGGGCTAATTATTACCTTATTTTACTACATTTTTTCAAATCAAATTTGCTTTTCACCATTTGTAATGTTGATTTATTTTCTTTATCAAAACCAACTTAGACACTGAAAAACCAAATAGTCCGTTTCATTTTCCATATCATTGCCTTTAGCATAATAATGCAATGTCACAGTCAAAATGATGCACGGGAGTATTTAAATGAAAGAACAATACATAAGACAGCTTATTTTTATTGCTTTTTAAAATCACTTTCCCCTCATTTATATATTGTGTTCTTGGGCAATCCAGAAATACTGCTTCCCAAACACATGCACACCGACAGGGGATGCTAACTACAGAAAACATTTAACAGGATCTCTTTAAGCGAAGATTTGTCATTCTAAGCTTGCCATGCAAAAACAGATGGACTCCAGCTCATTCTTCCTTAGACATTAGTTTTGCTAACCCAAAATTGATACACCTCGCCCTGGATTTCTGCCCTCTGTAGTCTTCTTATTTTTCTTCCATTTTTTAAATATTACAGAAGCCTGTCAATATCCTCAGTTACAGTACTCTCTGGCTAGATATCATTTTATAGTACATACCGGGGGGGGTTAATAAAAAATTCTAAAAATTGGCAAGATAAATATTTCAATTTTGAACGTAATTCTCATGTTCTTTATGACATTCACTGAAAACAGGGTTTTGGAAGAAAGACAAAAGATTAAAAGGACGCGTATGCATCCCAAGCGTTTAAAAGAAAAGAGATCTTTTCATCCAAACACTTGGATATATATACACATGTTTTCACATCCATTAGTAACCTTTTTACATGCTATGCACACTTTAAGGAATACCATCCATTTTCACCATAAAAAGAAACTTGACATTGACCACATCCAATAAAAAATTAGATGCTTATGAAAGAGTAAAAGCTGTCAGATAGTCAAGTCATTAAAAGAAAAAAAAAAAAGAGTTGCCAAGAAGTCAGTGCCTAAACTACAGAATTACATCCTTTAAGGTGTGTGCAAGACATTCACAGTATCACTTGATTACACTGAAGAAAATACATTTAAATAATTTAAATAGGTGTATAAACACCATTTCTTTGACTGAGCTGGTCATGAAGAAGCATACTGGGGCACTCATAAAACAGACGGGTAAATTCACAGATTATGTGGCTAGACAGTCTGTGTAAATCTGCTATCTCTCTATTGCAAAACAGCTTCAGCTGAATTTGAAAAAACAAATAATGCCTGTAAACTGTGGGGTGGAACTCATTTTGCTTCCTTTTACCTGTTGACAAGTGGCTTTACCTAATTATCCAGCCTCTTTTAGAAGTCCATAAAGTTAGACAAGCATCTCCTCAATGCAAGCAAACTTCAATATCTTAAAGTGGAACGAATCAGATGGTAAGCACAGCTGTTTTTCTGCAACAGCTATACACAAAAACTAAATGAATAGTTCAAGATAGATGCATACCATTTAGATAAAACCAGTGAGGTGAATTACCCCGAAATGTTTGAAAATCTATACCAGAAGGGGCGACTCCAGTGTATTTTTATGTATAGCTCAATATTTTTTCCCACTGATTTACCAAAAGTAAACATCAAATCAGTGTGCAGGTAAACAAACAGTATCTTCACGTTCCCATATCCTATGAAATATCATATAAGAAAAATAACCTAAGACAAAAAAAAACACTAAACCTTATTCACAAGAGCACACAGCATTTAATACAACCCAAGGGAGTATTATCAGACAGCTTTTGCAGCTCACAGCAATGTCTATGCTGCCACTGCCATATTATTCATAAACTCTATTACAATAAAGTTAGGTATTTCTGCACAAATCACTTTACTATATTTCTTTACTCAGAAATATACTAAATAAAGAGTTTATTCATCAAACAGTGTGCACTGATTCTTTCTGGAACATCAGAGATGTTAATAAAATGTACTTACCACGTTACATGAAAAGCTTGTCGACATCCATGTTTATTACATGTCATACAAGCACCAGTGGCTGCTTTACTTTCTCTGCCTTGTTCATCACAAATATAGCATGTCTATCAAAGAGAAAATACTTAACATGACAAGAAGCGTACAAAATAAATTCTGTGTTACTCACAGGAGATTCTAGAGTGAGAACTACTGGATTTTGCAGCTAAGCTAACATAAGAACTTCTTTATAAAAGTCTAATTATGTTTGCAAAAGGAGATCACCTGGTAGACATTTCGGATCTATGTAACACTTCACCAACACGAAAGCAGTTCAAATACTAATTTACTTAAATTCTATACCGCTATTTAACTAGCTAAACAGTCAAATGACTGAAGGTTAATAGCAATAGGCTTCAAGATTTTCCTTGCTTTCAAGTTTGCATTTATGTCCTTTTAGGTCACAATCATTTTCACATTCATTTAACATTACCTGTATTGGTGGCATTCAGAAACATCAAACTAGACTGAATACCTAATGGTACAAGATACCATACGTATACATGCATATGTCTACAAAATTACATACAGAAAAACTGCAAACTTAAAATTTTATTTGTACATTTGGTGTAAAGAATTATCAGAAGTCTCACAGCATGCTTTAATATTCATACGATGCTCAGCTACCTTTAATTAAATACAATGTTTAACAGAACTCTGCTTTAATTTCAGCATGACTTGGACAGCCCCATAAACATCTTAGAAACTAATCAAGCAAGAACCTTCTGTAAACAAAGCTTAAATTAGTATCTCAAACCCATTTCAAGCTCAAAAACAAACTAAAATGGAAACAATCTGTCTAGTACCTGAAAATCTCTTCATAGCATTTCTGTCAATTTATTTGTTTTACCAGGATAGTGGGGCGATTTGTACTATTTTCAAAAAAATTCTCAGTAAAACGGAAGAAAAAAAATACAGACAAAAAGAATCCAAAAACCCTTCTCATTATTCAATACTTTTTTTTTTTCAAATATGTGGTCAATAAGCATGGATACATGCTGTATAGAAGCTCACTGTTATACTGGACATCACTACAATCTCTTACCAGCATTTTAGGAAGAAAACGTCAGGCAAAACTAAATCTCTTTCCACTTTTTAGTATCCTAATTACTGAAATGCCATTTTGTGAGATTCTATCATATCACATCTGTGTGCAAAATTTAACAATTTAAGAATAGATTCTCAATGAAAGTATCCTCCAGCATTGGGGTAGTCAGGTGTCTGTTTTTAAATTACAGAGAACCTTACTGAAGTACCAGACATCAATGACACACTGCTACCTATGTAGAAATCCCAAAATCTCAGATGAGAAAAGAGAAACTTCACACACACACAAACAACTGTCTACATTTAAACTGTAACCGACTTAGTGCAATTGTATCACAACCTCCCTTCAGTGAGGCAGAGAATGAGTAGAATGATAAATAAAAAGAACATCAACCATGGGTCGCAGAAAATACAGTTTAAGAAAAATGGACCAAGATACCACTAAAATTAAATGAAAAAAAGCATATAACCCAAAACCAGTAGTACTTAGAAAATGAGTGAAATTCTGAGATCAGAACAGCCTTTAACAGAGGTATCCAGAACAAATCTAACATGAGACGTCCGCCAGCTAAAGCATTTTTGATAACATGCGAGACTCTAAGGTAGGTGAGTCATTCTTGTATGGTTTCCAGAAGACTTTAAAAAAGCATCAGAAACCAATAACCAATATATCCTAAAATCATACCCTAACATTTGAAGGCTCAGACAGGGGATAATCCTACTCCATTCTTTGCGTTGCTCCCTTTGTACATCAAGGTAGTGCATACAGACAATTCAGTTGTTCGGCAGGGTCTGAGACCGGCTGCTTTTTACCTTTCCATACCATGACCTGACACTTTTAGGTTTTAGGAACAAACATGGTCATGATCTATCATCCTCCATCTGAGTAACTACATTAAACGCTAAGTAACTTCAAAAGTAAGGTACCTCTACAAATAGAGAGTTCAACAGACCCCATAAAACTCAAGCTCCAGTTACTGTTCTGTTTTTTCAGAGTTTTGCCATAAGATCTGTAATTTTTTTCCTCACGGAAGCTCAGGAAGAAAGGTGATATTTAGTAAGGATGTAGGCCATGTTTTTCAACACTACATACTACATTTAGGTTCTGTGTTTCAGGACCTCTTCAACCAATTTACAGTAAACTGTCTGAAGAATGATAACAAACGACTACCTACATCCCAAACAAGTTTAAACACAACATGGTGGACTGCCCACCCATTTTAACAAGCTCAATGAACTTCTGTCCTTCCTACAACAGTCATCAGAAGTATAAAGCCTGTTTCCTCATCTTCTGTATGAAATGGGGCCAAAGAAAGTTCATCTTTGCGTTCCAGCATGGATGGTAACTCCTCTCCAAAGCTGAGTTTCTCACACTTCTGCCTTCTCTTAGACATACGAACAACCTCAGAAGCCTGAGAACCTTTTCTTTCTTTCACAAAGCAGAAAACCGAAGGCTTTCATGCTTTTGCAAATCCATGCAATTACCACACCTCTGAAACCTCTGGAAGCAATGCTCTTCAGAGCTCTTAAGGGAAGAGAGTACCTAGACTTCTCCTAAACTCACTGGAAAATAAGTTAAACACGACATAAAGCTTTTGACTTGGCAAGGAAATTTTACTCAAAAACCACAACATATATCTTCATTTCTGTAACAGCAAAACATACATTTTGCAAAGGTGTCTTTATGTTTCTGTCAATATTTTTTCTTCAAAGATTCAAAACGTAAACCTTCTTTGCAAAAGCAAAGACAAAAGGGAAGGTGAGGCAAGAAAAACCTTATAAAACAAAAAGTAATCTGAGAAACAGCTTACTTATAACAGCTACCCAAGAGCATTCCCTGCTTACAGAATCAAACCTAGGAGTTGTACAGAAATTTCTCATTGTTGCAGCAAGTACTGAAATAAAAGTGTAACAGCTGCCTTTACTACTAGGCGGATCAAGAAACTCCAAATGCACTTATTTTTTAATCAGCTCTTAAAAGAGATTCCTAAAAGCAGTCATTATATTCAATTACCACACACTTTCAAATGAACCTGAAAGAGACAAATAAAGCTCACATAAAATAAATAGAGATTATCCGTGCATAACCATCCAAGGAGTAACAAACACCGACTAAACAGGAGAGCAACTACTAGTCCATTTCTTTTTGGAAGCAACTGTGTAAGATGAGCTTTCCTGTTAGTTAACCCACTATTCTGTAATGTGATGGGTTCTATCCCAGAAGCAGGTAAACTCCAGGGAAATAGCAGCCAAATGTCTTTACATTGACAAGCCTCATGAGTTGGTGTCTGTTGTGTTTCTCCTTCCATTCAAGATTACTGCACTTTGTAATATTGCATATTTGCAGCATTCAATAAAGAAACAAATGAATAGAAAAAATGTGTAAATTAGGTGCTATCTCCTGGCAAAACTCCAATGATGTTTGTCTTCATTTTAAAGACTACGGTACAAATTTTCCCTTATTGTACTTGTCATTGACCTTTATTTTCCCCCAATTCCACGTTAGCCTTCTATATGTATCCAGCCACATATGCAGAATTATTTATGACTTCACAGGAAATAAAATCTTTCTTAAAATCATCCTATTGCAACCTGACTTGACAGACAGAACAAAATCAGCACTAAGCCTCTCTAAAAGAAGAAACAACTCTAGTAATTTTTTCCTAATTATACATTTACATTTGTTTACAATATGCAACAAATATTTTAAGAACTGTCTGCCATACCTTCTTCTCAAAAAAAATAGCTTTTCTTTCCCATTTCCTCCCAAATTGATAAAGTCAAGAGTTCAACGCTTCACAAAGTTTCTGATCTAAAAAATGTATCATTTAAATAAACGGAATTTATACTGAATAGCAAGAGGAGTGGGGAGGTGAAGTTATTGCAGGCTACTTGAAACAGAATTAGTAGTTGTATTGATTTTGTACTGCTCAAAACTAGCCTCCTTGGAACGGGTGGCAGTTTAGCCACAGCAGGACCAAACTCAGCACTGGCTACACATATAGCAAAAAAGTTGGGAGAGTCCCCTGTCAGCAACTGCCTCTTAAATTCTCTGCTGTTACAACTAGACTGCTGTTGGCAATGAAGTTAGATTGGTTCCATGAGGTTTGCCGCAGCAACTGAACCACAGGCATTTCTTTGATTCCCCTGAAATCCACAACCGCTATCTCCCTGAACCAAATAGACCAAATGAAGAGAGCAAAACCTGGATTCTGCAAAAAGAGAGGAAAAAAAAGAAAAAAAAAAAGTAATTTGCAGGCTAGGGGTATGACCCCAAACCTTGAAATTTCTGATATAGGTAACATATTTTACAACATACTGTAGTGGCCTGTATAAAAGTAGTTTTAGGCTGACTGTTACCATGGAAAATAGGCCTGAATCAGAACACCCACCAAAACCACAGGAAACAAAAAGACAGGCACCATGGGGAGCTTTATCTACATGATCTGTATGGCAGCAGCAATTATCGGGGTGGGGGGGGGATCACAGTAACTACAGACCAACTATGTGCAACTTAGAATTTTAGCAGTAAAAAACAACTACACATTGTGTATTTAGAAGAAGAACAGTTCAAGAAAGAAGCAACTTTAGTTGTAACAAAAAGGAATTAAAGACTAAAGACATAGACCAACAATGGACTTTATGAACAAGTAATATTAAAAGATGCAGGGTACATTTTTTGAAGTTACAAGGATTTACTCATCCAATATCAATTACCATCAGTAGAAATGGTGCAAGACAAAACAAACTCCAAAGTATTCCATGAAATTTTTGAAGTACATCAGGGAAGAACCACTACCAATAAAAAAAACATTGTGAATACTACTCCAGGAAAAATTAAAAAACAGATGTGCTGTTGGCCCAGCGTTGAGTAGAGAGAGAAAATAAACTCATCTGCTACAGCAAATCTGTACTGCTGTGTGTCCAAGCACAAAAATTTTATCAGTTCTGCACTTAATCTCACTGCTGCGTGTTCTTGCCAGTGCACAAGGAAGCCAATAGTGAGAAGCCAATACAGATGCTCAGGTAGTACGTAATGAGAAAGCATGAGAACTTAACAGTTTGGCTCCTTGCTTTTCGGACACACTGGTAAATAAGATGGGCAAAGCATACTGACAGCAACTATGAGAATGCGAAACAGACAATGAAAAGACCAAAGTATGAAAAAAGAACAAAGGATAGGAAAACAGGAGGGTAAGGGAGGTGGGTGGGGTGGGGGAGTGTCCACAAACCACCATAAGATAAAGAAAGAAACTAGAGGAACAACACAAGCAAAATATGTAATAAAACTAATCAGAAATTCAGAAAGTTTGCTGCTTACAGAAAGGAAAATACAAAAATACAAAGGAGGAAGTAGTTAAGTCTAGTGGTGAAGAGGCAGCACAAGTGAAACAAGTAGAAAAATGTAACTGGCAATATAGAGCTTTAAGTTACTTCTATATTGCTTTGCTCTCCCCCCCAATAATGTCTCACTACACTTTACAAAACATTCCATCTCACTGACACTTATTTAGGAGCAGTTCTACAAGAAAATAATCCCACTGAAGTGAACACTGTTTACAAAAACAAAAGTCTGCAAGCTTTTTCCTTAATATAGTAGCATAGGTTTTCTTCCTAAAAGGAATGTTTATGAACGTCATATCAATACTTAAAACAGTAGGACTTACTGGTAATTAACAATAACATTTCAAACAAGCTGTAATAATATTTTAACCTATGGGAAATATTTCACACTCCTTTGAAAATAAACCATTATTCAAAGATCATGGCACTTTTAATTAACAAAACAGTCCTTAATCTGTAAAAGCATAAAGAGACATAGCAGATAACCTTACCGCTTACTTTCATAATATAGCTTTCTTAATTCCTGAATTTATCATAAAGCCACAGCAGAAAACATACAGCATTACTGCATACATTTATTAATTTTATATAAAGTACATTCTAAGAAGTGTAGTTTTAGATTATTAAAGCTCACAAGTTTTAAAATAAATACATTAGATATAGATAAAAAGACATATAATTATACCTTATTATAACGATCATGAGGAACAGACTGCAACACGATAGGTTCCATTGTAGCAACATTTGCAAACTGCACCTCGGGAATGTACAGAGCACAAACCACATGAGCCCAACCTACAAAAAGTTATAATTGTATTTAATTTTAATGTTTTCTAGAAGCTCAAAGGACATTTCATTTATAGTATAAAGAACCTTTTAAAACACTTTTTTCCATGGACTACTTTAAATGTTTAGAATGTTACAGACAGAAGTTACTTAAATCATGTTAACATTTAATTTTATATTATCCAAGGTTTAGATGAGTTGTAATACATTTTCAAGTTTATTCAGTGGAGAATTTATAAAAATAATACTCCATTATATCCAAATACTAATGATTTATACAGTGACACACGAGCAGCAAAGCAGGTTGTTTCTTTAAATTTCTTGCATTAACATAGTCATCGCATAAAAGCTATGTGAACTCCTGCAAAAGGGAAATATCATCTGAACAAACTAGCATTCACGCAAGCATTACCATCGTATAAGACTTCTGTATATACTTTTTCTTTAAAACAAAGTCATTCTAATTTGACTAGACTCCTGTATTCTTTCTATTGAAAGCAATCCCAACACATGCACCACCACATCCCCTCCATCAAATATCTTCTTTTCTTTCTTTAAAGCTGTGGCCAACTTATTTTTTCATAGGAATATCAATGCCTATATCCAGCCCTGTTCTCACTCAGTAACCTGGGGTCGTCAATAAATGCTTAATTACTTACCATATTGTGCTTTAACAACATTTCAAGAAGTAAACATTCCTAATTCTGTGGCATTTGGCTGGATGGGGGCAGGGGAGAACACCAATTCAGAAAGAAACCTACTCATTTTAGGCCTTTTTTCAATGCTAAGATCCTGAGAGCTGTTGGTTTGTTTCAGTAGAGGATAGTTTGCCATAATGGTAAATCTAGCAGAAGCTACTATATAGCTAACCCAACATATTAAAATACTGACATAATAGAATTACAAGAGTAGTATCAGATAGTATAGAGCTACACCATCTGAAAGTGTATTTGGTCTGGCTAATCATTTAGCACAAATTCTGTTCTTCCCCAAGATGAAAACTGAAGTGTTTTGTCACAAGACCTTCAGCACACCTTAAAAGTAATTGTGCTTTTCTCACACCCAGGCTTACCTGTATGCAAATATTAAGGACATAAAATGACAGACATGCATAATTAGATAATTTATCAGACTATTAGATTAGGTAAACAAGGTAAATTACCATTGTGCAAATGCATCCTATAATGAAAAACGCAAAACCAAGAGAAAAACAAACAAAACCCACCATACTGCCTCAACTGCAGACCTCACTGAGTTTTGTTTTCATCTTGGATTTTCTCTTTTTAACTACTGAATCTAAAGTTTCTTAATTTCTTCACCCAACTGTACTTTGACTCAAACTGAGCTAAATGTAAAGTTGTACTAACTTACAGCAGTACTGTTGAGACTCTGGAATGGTATTTAGTACCTGGAATTGCATATGTGCTTTTTATTCTTTTCCTAAAGCACAAATCTTATCTAGTTGCTTCCAACAGATTGGCGTCTGTCCTCCCCATTGACTAAATTAGTAATCGTAATTTGTACAGAAAATAAAAAGCGCACACACAACTCCTATAGTCAATATTCGCAGTCAACGTAACATGTATCATTCTAGTATTTCATCTGCAACTAAATACATTATCTAAGCTGCTTCATCATTTTATTCACATATGGTTTGTAGAACTATTCCACACAGAAAAAAGGTAAGACTAATAAAAAAGTAGGGAAAAGAAAGTATAAACTGCCAACTTGAGCAACAGGTCAAACAGGCCATTTAAAAATTATCATTAACAGGCAGACTGAAAAAAACTATTAAAAAGGCAGTCGTTTTTTGTTCTCTCCTCTACTTGAAAAATCTCTTAAAAAATTAACTCAAATAGGAACACCATTCATCTAATAGAGCCATTAAATCAGTAGAAAAGTGATACTGACATTTTCAAAAAAATCCTTCTTCAGTTAGTTACTCACAGATGGCAAAAGCTTTTACTTCAGGCATAATTAAGCCTGTACTCCAGTTACACTTACTTATAATGAAAAATCATTATGTAAATATACAAAATATACCAGAAACATAGAAAAAAAAAATCACTTAGCCAACTGAAATTTAAGTAAGTAAAGAATTTTTACTACAAGAAACCAGTTTCAGAAGTAACTTTAACTAAACACTATTCCATCACTGTCAAACCCTAAACAATATAGCCAAAAACCTACAAGCTTAATATATTCTGATTTCCACAACAGAGAGTGCCGGATAGTTGTAGGCAACAGCACACTCTTACCTTTCGTGGTAACAAAAATAAAAACAGTATCCATATAATGAAACAAATGAAGCACCATAGCACTAACACACTTTTTGAACAAGTGGTCAGTAAGTGCCCAAAAAAATGAGGACAAGGGATCATTTCCATTGATTTCCATCTGGTATCTTTAGATCCCAGATAATCTGACATTGTTGAAAAATCATAACCTGTCCAGTAAAAATTTAACCATAGGGGAGGCTGCAGCACCCTTATGTTACCAGCTTCAAACAACAGAATCACAGAATGATTTGGGTTGGAAGGGACCTTACAGATGATCTAGCTCCAACCCCCTTGCCATGGGCAGGGACACCTTCTACATCATAAAACAAGCCTACTCCAGCACCAGCACCCACTAGGACTCAGAGACCCCGCACACAACTGCTTAAATGTTCTTTTGTCCAAAGTTTCACCAGTGAAGAAAAATAAAATTGCCAGAGAGCAACACCCAGTTCAAC